GGATTTTAAATATATGATAAAATTTTACCAAAATAATTATTTTATTGAATCACATTATAGTCAAATCGAATTTCTAAATAAAAATTTTGAAACAAATATAATATAATTTATTATCATATATGTGCAGCGTACGGATTGTGCACTAATTTTAAATAGACATTTATATGTAATTTTGCAGAATCTAAATTTTATAAAACATTTACAATAAATTAATATAGGTAAATTATATTACATATTGATTCAATATTTTTAATTTATAAATATTATTTACGAGAATTTTTAATTTATAAATATTAATGAATATCTCTTACGCGTGCATCGCACGAGATTGATACTAGTTTCTTTGGTAATCAACATACAACATGTCTTCAGAAATCGTCTATTAAATATATTTTGTTTTTAAAAAATATTATTTGAATATACATGATAAAATTGCAAATATACTTATAAAATAAAAATTACAAATCAATTATGAAAATTTTATGTTACAAGAACTTTATTTATCAACATTAATAATAAAACACAGTGATTTCTTATTTATTTGGTAACCGACCATATAACAAAATAATTTTTATCGTATTTTCAAAAAAGTCAGCTAATCAAGGATTAGTTTAGAATCCTTTGATCTATTCAAGAACTCAATTGTTTCATTTTCTTAAAAATTATAAACCAAATTTTCTAAAATATCAAAAGAAATTTAACTATTTATCATTAATAACAAACCAAACTTTATCCTTTATAACAAATAATTCTTTCTCCTATTTTGTTGGGTATCCAGTCATATGTAGACTGAAATAGGCGTGAGAATATTGCAAAATATAAGTATAAAACAAATTTATATATCAATTGCAAAAATCTTATTAATATAACTACCACAATAATATAATAGAAGTAATATCTCAACATTAATAACAAATCCTTACGATTTTCTATTCATTTCGTAACGAGCCATATACCAAAAGTCATTTATTCAAGGCGTTCAAAAATATCATTTGATTTTATCAGTAACTGCACCAAACCAGTTTTGTAAAAAATTATATTGCGATTCACAATATCATAAAATCTCATATAAATTCATAGATTAGAAAGAAAAATTAAAATATTTATAATATTTTAATTATAAGAAAAAATAAAATAATATTGATGTAACTAAAAATTAAAATGTTTCAAGCTTCAAAATAATATATATTACAATCTTTTTCAATTAACTGTTGATTATAATATTTGCCACAATTTTTCAACTTTAGCCTAACTTATTTAGTAATCAAAGTAATATATTGTAACAAGGTATGAGTAAAAGAAGATAGAGAGAAATAAGTATTATATGAGTATTATTTATAGATAATATTTGAATATATTAAATTTTTATTATCCTTAATTATAAATAGTATCTAAAATGACAATTATTTTATAACGAGTGAAATAAACATATAAATTATATATTAAATTATTATATATCATAAAATAAAATAAAATAAACCGATCAATCATGAAAGAGATGAAAGTTAGGAAATGATAAAAATAAAGAATTTGCAATTGTGTTTCAAAATCTATCAAGCATGGTCTTTATTTGTAGAGAATGAAAAAAATATGAATTTTAATATTTTTTCAACATAATTAACACCAAAAATTACAAATTACCTTTGATCATATTTAAAAAAATACATTTATCCAGTAGAAATAGGACAAGTATCCCATTCCCAAACAAGAAAATCGACGGCGACCCAAGGTTATCGGGACCTAGCTCGCCAATTTTCATGACTTTTTCCATTTTTGTTTTCTTTGTCTTAATAAATAAAAACGATCCAAGTGTAAGCCACATACATGATGAGATCTCGAAATTTTCCTTTTAAGATCACATTCTTATCAGGATTTGGCCATGATTTTGCAAGTGCCCAGGCAAATCTTCAAATTAATCCACCACCTATTNTGTTTTCTTCCTTTTATTTTATTCTCCCCCTTTCTGGGCACTCTGTTTAAAAGTTGAGTGTTGAAAACCATGTTTGAATCATTTTGAAGTTTACAGCACAACAAATAATTAAGAGGCGTGCCACTTTGGATATTTGGAAACGCCTTTTGATATTATCACATAAGAAAACATCCTTTTTCATTATCGGGTGAAAAACTTAGTACACTTATATTTCAAACTGAAAATAGATATTTTCACTTATCGTGTATATCTTCGTTCCTCAACACATTTCTTACCAAGTGGCTCATTTAATATTAGTTTTAACGAACAATGAGTTATCTAAAGCTATTATATCGTGTTCGTGTTGAACTATTGTACCATGTTGTGTTGTGCTTATCGTATTATTAATTATAACACGATATATAAGCTCCACAAAAACATTAAGTTTGTATCATGAATTCGGAGTCTGTATGATGTAAGAGGTAAAATTAACTTAAGCGTCAGTAGTGTTTACATCGAAGATCTGACAAGGAAGGCTGTTCACGAAGTAGAGAGAACTATCGTCTACAATTGTATTTGCTAATCGTGTTGTGTCGCATACGTGTCGTGCCGACTATTATTACAACCTTTAGAATTTACTAAAACATATTTATTCAAACATATTTATGCCAACCATTATATTTATTATTTACTAAAACAAATACTAAAATATTTATTGCCTGCAATAAAACATTGACTTTTATAACATTATCATTGTCCTTGCTACATCAGTCTTGAAACAATTGCTATGATGACTAGCCCATTTAGAGTGCCACGTGGTTGTTTCTAGTCTATTAGGTTACATGTCTTATCATCTAAGGATCAAGAACTTCAAAGAAAATAGCAAGGTTAATTACCCATTAACTCTTATTTATATAATTTGACACAATGTGATATTGTTTCCGTAGAGCACTACATTGATCTCATTAAGGATTTATTTTTTTTAAAAAAAATAAAAGAAGACACAAGGGAAAAATTCTGAGTCATGGTCATATCTTTAAGAATCCTATTGAAATCCAAACGCCGTGTTGTAATTTATTACCACATTAATTTCTCCCCACAAAGCTTACATAACGAGATAAATATTCTTCACATGTCCTGAATTCAGAGCTATTATAGGCCATACGTACAAGCATTATAGCTTTCGATATGAAATGGATAAAGGATAAATAATAAATATGCCATAAAGTAGTAAACTTTGAGAGGGAAAAAAGATTAGTTGAACCAAGGTGCCACGTCATTTCAATAATTAATATGGAATCTATAGTAATATAAAGAGTTTGTTGGAGAAATACAAAAATAGTAACTTTGACTTTAAAAATAAAGTGTTGACTTGCTATTTGTGGAAATTTCAAAAAAAGCACATGTGAATCTTTAAGAATCAAATTTAAGGGAGATATCCCAAAAAATATGGAGATTCTTAAGGAAACAAATTTTGAGATTCTTATGCCAAAATTTAATTCATTTCATAAATACAAATCTTTATTGGTAACAAATTTGGATATTCTTATGCAAAAAAATAAAATTTTGAATTGAGATATTGCAACAATTACGAATTTTTTCCATTCAAATTAATGTTTCAAATCAATCAAAAAATTGTTCGGGGAATAATGGATGTTGTATTAAATATTGATAAACTCCAATCCTCCATAAATTATTTATATTTATAAATTTTGTGTGTAAATATATTGATTTGTTTTCCTTAAATAATAATAAATTACATTATTTTAGGACCTAAATCCTAACTTTTTTTTCTATTTTTTGGTGGTTTATTCTTTAATTAAAATAATATTTGACTTATTTGATTAAAACAACTTATTTTCTTTAGGAAATAAATTTAAGTGAGATATCCCAAAAAAAAATTAAGATTCTTAATGTAACAAATTTGGAGATTCTTATGCCAAAATTTAATTCATTTCATAAATACAAATCTCATTTTTATTGGTAACAAATTTAGAGATTTTTACGGAAAAAATTTGAAATTTTGAATTGAGATATCTCAACAATTACAGATTTTTTTCCATTCAAATTAATGTTGCAAATCAAACAACAAATTATTCCGAGAATAATGGATGTTATACTAAATATTGATAAACTCCAATCCTCCATAAATTATTTATATTTATGAATTTTGTGTGTATATATATTGGTTTGCTTTTCTTAGATAATAATAAATTATATTATTTTATGACCTAAATCCTAACATCTTCTCTATTTTTTAGTGGTTTATATTCTTTAATTGAAATAATATATGAATTATTTGATTGAAACAACTTATTCTCTTTATAAATTAAATTTAATGAGATATCCCATAAAAATTGGAAATTCTTAAGATAACAAATTTGGAAATTCTTATGCCAAAATTTAATTCATTTCATCAATATGAATCCCATTTTTATAGGTAACAAATTTAGAAATTCTTATGCTAAAAAATTGACATTTTGAATCAAGATATCCCAACAATTACGGATTTTTTTTTCATTCCAATTAATGTTGCAAATCAAACAAAAATTTGTTCCGAGAATAATGGATGTTATACTAAGTATTGATAAACTTCAATCCTCTATAAATTATTTATATTTATGAATTTTTTGTGTAAATATATTGATTTGTTTTTCTTAAAAATAATAAATTACATTATTTTATGACATATATCCTAACTTCTTTTCTATTTTTTGGTGTTTATATTCATTAACTGAAATAATATATGACTTATTTGATTGAAACAACATATTTTTAACCATATAATCATATAATATAAAAAATTTATTAATTTACAAAAAATCACGACTTAAATATATATCTATGAATATATAAAAAGGTAAAATATTTACCTGTGAATAGTATGTAAAATTCCGCCTAAAATTTTCGTTTTTACTGATAATGGATTTTTTAAAAAAAATTTCAAATTCGGAAAAAAAAAAAAATCAATTAGTCACAAATAAAAAAAAATCACAAAACACTCTTAAATAAAAAGTTCAAAATCAACCTATCGAATCCTAGGGTTTACTTGGACATAACGATCAGTAGCTAGCCCCGTCGCTGAATCGTGATGGAGCTCTTCGCCGACGTCGTCACAAAGACGGATGAGAACTTTTGCGCCCTATGCACCGACGAGAAGGACGTCGGCATCTCTGGCAAGCCCCTCCACCACAAAGGGTCATCCTTCCACCGTGCAATTCCCGATTTCATTTGTCAGAGCAGTGACTTCACTGCGGGTAACGACACTGGCGGCAAGTCGATCTACGATGCCAATTTTACCAACGAGAACATCGTGACCATGCACACTGTGATCAGTCGATGGCGAAGGCCGGGCCGGGGACTAATGACACACACTTTTTCATCCGCACGACAAGGACGAAGTGGCTTGACGACAAGCACGTGGTGTTCGGGCAGGTGGTGGAGGAGTACGACGTATTGAAGGCGGTGGAGAATGTTGGGTCGGGGAGCCACCAGACCTCGAGACCGGTGGTGATCGCCGGCTGCAACCAACTTCAGATCTGATGGTTGTGTGTCGTTTAATTTGAAGTTTGTTGGAGACTATTTTTATAACTACCTAATAATTGTCTTCTGATTTGTTAAATTTGAAATTAAAAAATAGTTTGTTGGATACTTTTTTTCATAACTATCTAATAATATGTCTTTTAATTTGTTTAAATTTGAAATTAAAAAATGAAGTTAACGTTCGTAAGACTCTGAAAATCATATAAGAATTTTATATTATATGATCGATTGGTTCCTAAAAACTTGGCGCATATATATAGTTATTTTTCAAAATTTAAAATTTTAAGATTACAAATAAATATTTCTTCAAATGGTCATATTTATCTTTATAAATTTAAAGTTTTAAGATTACTATTAAATATTTTGTCAAATGGTCATAGTTATCCTAACACATTTTATCAAACTAAAAATAATATATTAGGATTTATCACACTACAAATAATATATTATAATTTAATTTTTTTCACACAAATGTTTGAAAATGTTAATTTGTTGACAAGAATGTTTGCCACAAAATCAAACAAAAAATATTGTGTATAGTGAATTGTTGAACAGTATATGATTTTTCATACTTTGTATCTAAATTTTTTCCATAATGAAATGTTTAAATTTTAGTAATTATATTTAAAAATAAAGTTTTAAGTAGATTTTGAGGAACAAGTCTCACCGTGCATCGCACGGGTTGCTCACTAGTGTATATAATTATGTATAGCTAACTTAATCACTATTGTTAAAATAAATTATTATCACTCTCTAGACAAGAAAATAATTAACAAAGAAAACTAATTGCATCAGCTAAATGATGACATGAACCATGAATTTAATTTTCTTCAACCTTCGGAGGATTATCTTCACTCCTCTTTGAATATTAGTGGACCCATTTGTACATAAATTCTTCTATTAGTTTGTATGAGATATTCATATTTTTATCAACAAATATACATATTTGTATAATGTGTTTTTAAACTTTTATTTATATTAATATTATTTCTTACATTATAACATTTGAATATAAAAGTGGGTAAATCTGCTAAAAGAATATGAATAATTATAGTTTATTCAGCCAAACAAAAATATTATTGTCATATGTATATTTTGGAAAGTGGAACCCACACCCCAATAAAGGAGGTGGTGATGATAAGCTCTCGAGCAAGTGAACAATATTAATTTTTAAATCTATCTATATATATATAATTACTAGCTAATATCATTTAAGAAAACCTATTTAATAAAACCTCTAAAATTTTCCCTCCATTTTCGGTTACAAAATTTATCATTAATGCTTTTTTATTTCTCACATTAATACATTTATTGAGTGTAATCATGTATTTTTCTATTATATAATATAATAATTAATGCTAATACCAACTAATAATAATTCACAATAAATATAAATTGCATAATTATAAACAATTGTTTCAAGTTATTTATTTTAACATCAATATTATCTTTTTCTTTTGTATCTCATGAAAAAATTTCTTTAAAAACAATCAGTAAATTGTTTTAATAGCATAGTCAAACAACTTTAGAATATTATAAACAATTATTTTTGTAATAATAATAATAATAATAATAATAATAATAATAATATTAATAACAACAATAATAATAGTAATAATCAAACTGTTATTATCTAATGATAACTAACAATTGTTCATAATAATAAACAACTATTTATTTTTTCTAATAATTAAAATTTAAAAATGTAATATGTTCATTATCTAAAATTTTAATATTAAATTATCAAATATTACTTATTATATTTTATGTAAATCTGTGCATGTGCACAGGATATTCACTAGTATATATATAATTGCTAGCTAAGCAATAAATTTTACCTAATAAATAAAATCTAATAAATTTTACCTATGTAGCAAATCATTAATAAAACCTAACAAATAGAACCTAATAAATTTTATTTATGTGGCATTAATACACCCAATCTCATTAATAAAAAAATATTTCGTTACATTTTTAGGTTAATTAAGACAAAAATCATTATATTTTATGTTAATTGATTAATAATTATATTTTTTAATGAATAATATAATAGTTAATATTAAAATTAGTAATTATATTTTATACTAAATAATATATGAAAGTTACATAAAATTATATTTTACACTAAAATCAATATTTTTTTTATATGATGAAGATGTTGTTTATTAATAAACTAATTTTTTTTATGTTATAGTAAAATTTCTTAAAATCACATAAGCAATTGTTATAATAAATGTAATATTTTTCAGCTAATTAA